TCCCTTGATACATCTTTTCTCGCTTTAGCCACCCTACGGGACATGTCAAGCACCTGCTTTTTTACCCGTTATTTACCATTTTCCATTGTTCATTTAACTAAAATATCGATCCATGCTGACTGAAAATTAACACGCCAAACTAGGACATTTCATACAACTAATTAAATTTAATAAGGATCACGTGATTAGGGCCCGTTTTGTTTGAAGCAGTGCAGCGAAGCAAGTGGACGTGCCCATTGCGGGGGTAAGTAAAACAGAACAATCGGAGATAGAGGGCATGTTGATCAAATAACTTGCAATCAGTATAACGTCACAAGAATCAAGAACACTAATTTGTGATTGACCTTGTCAATTAAATCTAGAGAAACGCCTTCCAGCCAGTTTTGCTAAATATTCGTTTTATATTCCAAACTATTAAGAAGCGTACTGCCAAAGGATATCCTACTGCAATCGGTTAACGTAAGCATGCAGTTGCAACTGACCGTAGAACAAAACTGATTTTACATATCTGCATTCCATGATCAATGTAAGCAGTCACCTTGCAAATTTAAGCTAATGAGACCCTCCTCATTGTGTTTTTCCGCATACATTTAAGAATAGATGTAACAGCGGACCAGCTGAACCTGAAGTAAGGCTGAAATAAGTTTGCTTAGACGAAAATTTGCTCCCAAATACAGTATGTACGCGCGTTGTGAAAGTAACGCGGAAATGCGCCTTAATACGTCATAGCCTACACAAAGGAATTCCATAAGCTTCATGTGAGAACACAGGCGGAACACTTTTCTCAATATTTTATCATCCAATTGAAAGTTTTGTAGCTAGGTTTAGGTACCGAAATTAGTGGTCTTTTTTAGTTGAGATTCAAAAACAGTATTTACGGTTCTATTTTGCATGCCGTAAGAATTTTACGTACGTTTGATTAGTTTTCTTGCCAGATTAATCCTGGAGGAATATCAGGAGAATGGGAGGTTATGTACTATATATGACCTACCTGCTTTCACCTGTACACGAACTCAGAACGAGGGGTAACTTAGATTGAAACGTCAATTGTTGTGGCGTCGTTGAATGTATCACTGATAGAACTGTACAACATAGCGTGACTTAGTTTTTCGAACCCTGCTGTATGAATCCTGTCATATTAGAACTCCATTTTGTCAGGATTAGCGGATACAGTTTGGTCTAATATTTGCGTGATGAATTGGAGAAGTTTACCTCATGACATCCCTATTATGGACATTTCAAAGGACCACACATAACTGGATTTGCATACTAATGCATTCGCGGAATGCATATGGGACATGCCGCGGTCATCTAACAAGGTTTTCTATACCTCAAGTATACTGCATTTAAGAAGCACTAACAAGCTTCGAATAAACATATTAATTGAAAATTCTACTGATTTAGCAATACATTTAGAATGCTTCCTTCTTTTGTGCTTTTTGCATTGAGCGCTTGATTTTGGCAAGGTATCTATTGCGAGAGTTCACAAGCTACAGATTACAGCCTAGTTCGAAAAAGCACCAGACACGCTTCGCCCTTTTGGGGCTTGTCAGTTGTGCGTATTTCATCGGTCGCCTAATATGGATGGAACGCAGGACAGCTAGAGGCAAATACCAACTAGCCAGCAGCTTAAGCCACAGAGCCATGGGGGACGTTGGCTGTGCTACATAATTGCCAACTAACTGGGATATGGCATCACCTATATTCCAATGTCAGTGACGTGTCACTGGTGAGTTAGCTCCCTAATAATTTCTAACGATATTTTTATGCAAATTGCTCATATTCACTTATTTTTGACAGGACTGGAGCTGTAATGGCTGCGCTTATCAAAGGCTTCACATAAAGGTGCTTTTGGGCTTAAGGTAGCAAATTTATAGCCACTGCCGTTTTTGACAATATGCGGGGGAAATACTTTTCCTCCCATTCCAATTTTTGAGGTGAATACATCCGCTTTTACTTTTAATTTAATCAGGTTAACAAGTTACTCCTTAACTGAAGGTTCAGATTACAACGTAATTTATTGCACTAGGATTTTCTGGTGCAAAATTGATTTTGGGAGTGGATCGGAACCTAACTGATTTCATGCCACTCTTCACTCAGCCTTACCAATGATGACAATTTGCGCCATCCTTTGCGCATCTCACATTTTTACACACCTTTCTATTCAGTTCTCAGTAAAATCCATAACCGTAATAACTTGCCGGAGTTTTTCATTTCCGCTTCATTCAAACCGTTACAATGCTTGAAATGTCCAATTCCTGACGCGCTTAATTTTGACCCCTTAACAGGACAACACCAACTTGTACATGGTGCTGGACTTTGTCAGTGGTGGTGAAATGTTCTCCTATCTTCGAAGAGTTGGAAAGTTCAGGTAAGCTTCATGATTGTTCGCACAACGTAATATGATGTGCAGGTGTGCCGGTTAAGTGCACATGTGACTCGGCTATTGAGAAACACATTGAGCGACATGCATTTTCGTGCTAAGTGCAGTTGGTTCACTGCGGCTGTCAGTATGCACCATAATATATAATCATTAAAATACGTGTTCTACGAATGATCAGCATGGCGGATGTCACCGGAATTTTCGCATTTTCGACTTACGATTTAAACAACGTATCAAGATCGACCAAGCTGCACGAAATTGGTGATGATTGTGTTCTCACGGATTCGGTCCCCATGTTAGATTTAAAGGAAATTGGTCCATTCATGTAATCGAGCATCAATCTCATTAGTATCTGTGACCACTGGTCAAGTGGAGCTGAATAAGAACGGTTGGCTAAATATTGTTCGTTAATTAATTCAGTTAGTATCCACCAATGCCATTGGAAATCTTAGTAAGCAACTTGTTTTTTTCTTTTATCCTGTTTTTCGATTGTTCATCCGATGAAGCAAAATAGCTTGCATAGGATATCGAATTACGCTTCATTCATTATCTGGCAGTGACGAGACTCTCGACCTATGTTTGTATAGCACATAGCAGTGCAAACATCCACTTGTAATAGGGCAAAGGTCAAAAATCCACACGATGATTTTAAGCCATCTATTGTGCATAGCCACTAACACTGAAAAAGAGGGATGGTATCACAGTTATATGTGTTGAAATATTTATTAATAAAACAAAAAATATAACTCCATAGTAACTAAAAATGTTAGAGTCCAAACTAAAATTTAACAGACAAAATGTTATCTTCGGTTTCTAATGTTTCTTCTATATGAGAAGGAAATAATCAATACACCACACAAATCTGATGTGCATATAAAAGCACCGCGACGGAAGCTGATCAGAGGCAAACACAATTTCAAGTAGTTGCTTAATAAATGTAAAGTCTCCTATGGTTTTCTCTTTGAATATGTTTAAAATAGTTTGCAAATTGTTATTGTTTTCCCAGCTACGGTGATCCTGTGATTAGCATTAGTTTGAAAACTGCCACTACTCTCCGCTGCAGGATGCCGTATGAAGCAGCGTAATCTATATTAGGCAGCCAATTATGCTGAAATATTGAAGAATTTCTCGTAGGTCCTTTAGACGCAGGTCGAATCTTTGGAATCTGTGCCCGATGTCAAGAATTTCCCCTATGAATCTAGGCCCAGGTGACGAGCTTTCTTAAACCTTTGATGCTCATGCCGTGTTGTCCATCTGATCGTGCCACGTCTCTGAAATTTATGATATCCATGATAGTGGGTTTTGCAGCCTTAAGAGCCAAATCTTATCTGAAGGATATTCGATAAAACTTGCCCGCAATGACTGTTTCCAAGTCTCGTACGCAGCTAATTTTAAGAGCCGGGTCATTAATTTTCACTGACAAAAAAGCTGTAGCTGTTGAAGGCAAAATGAAAAAGCTGGTCTTCACATTTTTCGTTATTCTTATTACATTTCCGACTGGAAATGAGTTCCGATACAACTCCCATACCAAGCAGTTATTTCGCCTATTCTCATCGAGCACCAGATCCATAGCTACCGTATAACAACAAGTGCAAATCATGCACAATGATTCCACTAAAATACATCACCTATTGCCGATTGTCCTTTGATAAACGAGTGTTTGCTTTTCATGTGGACCAGGGTCTAAATGTACCCATTTGATGCAACTGAAAGAAAACGTAGACTGAGGGACAACTAAGCCTAAATGTTGCATGAATCGCTTAACTTGTGTATTTTAATAACCTAACCAGACACATATAGATGTATTTTATGTTTACTTTGAGTAGAGGTTGCAAAGGTATCTCGCATTAGCCTTTGCTTGTGGAAACTGACAACGTTCTAAACGATGTCACAGGATTTACATTAGCAAACAATATCGTCTTGTTCTATATAAGTAAACGAATATGTTAAGCCAAAACCCATGATTTTTGAATATACTTGTGCTATAACAATATTAAGTACATGTGACAAGTATTTTTAGCTAAGACTTGCGCTAATGCCACAATACGTTAAAACTGAGGGTAGAAGAATAACTTTTTATTTAAGCGTTAAAATGTTTACAACCAAAACCTTCGAGTTCTAGTTCGGCGCCTAAAGCTTGGGAAGGGCTCTTAGTACTTGTATTACTACAGAATCTTCGCTATCTATCACCCAAATAAAATTTTGGCCTGCTGAATAATCGCGCTGCTGTTTACAATAAATGAATGTAAAAAATACGAATTCTCTACTTGCGTTCTGCTACAACATATTTCCCGGTTGTTCAATTAAAATTGTTTTAAATGTTTTGGCTGAACCGATGGAAACGATTGACGATTGGACACATTATTATAGACCTGCGCAAATGAACAAAAAGTGGCCTAAGCATAAGCCAGAATACTGCACTGACACTTGCTGCAGGTGACTGCCACCAGTCGCGCCTAGGTTGTGCATACCACGAGGTCCACTACAACTTCGCGGATTCGAAGCATTTACCCCAGTGGTACGAGATGTACGGTTTATCCCTTCGGCTACCTGTAGAAATTCACAGCTCCAACATAAGGTATTCCGACCGGGTCACAGATGCAAACACCATACAAGTCCTATTACGCTTAACGTCAACGATCAGCCGAGAATAGATATTTCCCGCGTGGCATGGTTTGTTAATATGGTTGTTTAGTTCTTTGCTGCAAAAGTGAACATCGTAAATCTATTTATATAATCTTCCAGAGTTTACCGTTCATAACATCTACGACTGCACGGTGTATACGACTGCGCAAACAGAATCTTGCTAATTTTTAATACGAGGAAATGCTAGCCGAAACGCAGAAAATGACGGTTGGCAGCCCAATATTCTCTGGTTGTTCGAAGCTTTCTAGGGGGATTTAATTAAAACGTAATCCAATCGTTCAACCGATTACATAGAGAGATTTACCTGCTTTTCCACTTGGTGGTACTTGGCAGCACTTGAAGTGTCCTACCTGGAGCAAACGACATAAGGTCACTCTTGATAAGAAAAGGACAACCAATTAACGGAAAGTCTGGAAAGTTATTTGCTCATTCCCTTAGTATTACCAACCTAGGCTAAGAATTTCAGGATTGCACACTAAAGACCATCGTGGCCACATGGATGAACTACAAGTGATCTATGACAACCTTGAGAAATCCACTTACGTTGGTTGCTAAACTAAATTTGTTTACACCGCAAAACCAAGTGGCTACTAGCTGGAGCAAAGCGTATAGCATGCTTGGCGGAAATTTAGCTGGTATATGTTGTTCCACCCACAGTTGGACTCCATCTAATGCACTGCCGACACACCATTCTAATGTGTTAAGATATTGCAGTTTGTAAAACAGTTTGGCAATGGAGTTTGCAAATTTCGTTGCGCGAAATGACTCGCGAACTTTGGAGACCAGTAAAAGCAAGCAACCATTATTATCACCAGAACGCCAAATATTCTAGCTGAGAAGGTTCAGGCAAAACGCAAATTCAAGTAACACGATTATGTTAGCCCACCAATCCCTAGTCTAAGAAAATGTCAGCTTTTATGTTTCTAAGCAACCAAATGCATGATAATATTAAAAGAAATGTCCACAAATTTTGAGAGCAATCCCAAACCACGAACCGTTTCTTTATACATGTAAAGTTTGCAGTTGATCCAAAAAAGGAACGACCACTGATTGTTCAATTTACATATTTCTAAGTTGTCTCCTTAAAGCTATCATACTATGGCTACCTGAATCAAATTATTCAGATTAACTCCTTATATCATTTGGGTGGTGTACGGTTCCACGCATGTTCCTTCAGTAATGCACTGCGTTGACGGATGCAAATTATCCATTCATAGCTAAACCGACCACTTGAGGTTGAAGAATGTGAAGACCAAGAGTCAACGTACAAAAGCGATTTCATCGAAAGCTGATGTTTTGGTTTTATCAGTTGAAATAAACCGCACTCCAAATATTTTTGCGTAAACTGTAAACTGTATAAATTGCTTTCGTTTGTAGCGAGGATGATGCGAAATTTTACGCCAGTCAGGTGGTTCTAGCCTTTGAGTATCTGCACGCATTAGACCTGGTTTATCGGGACCTTAAACCAGAAAACCTGCTCATTGATGGTACGGGATACCTAAAAGTGAGTCCCTATTTATGCACACCATTTTAATCAAGCAATTTTCCTAGCAGACATCCGGACAACAAGCTTTTGGTGATCCACAGATCATCGTAGAGTGTAGGCAATACGGATGCATGTGAATTAGCGTAACCACGCAATTCATCCATGTTGCGATTCTGTGGATTTGCTTATATAGTATGAAGTACATTTGTACTCGATTTGGAAAACAGTAATTCAATAAATGGTAAACATTTAGCACATATTTGTTTAATTACAGATGTGTTAATCTGCTATTCGGTTAATTTCAGCTCGCAAAAGTCTAGTGTTGGTGAATCTAGATTAGTAGTCAGTATGTAACACACTGTTAGTTACGAATAATGGATAGCAACCAATCATAAATTAATTTAAGCAGAAACTATGCAAGGTTCTTTCACGACTGATTCATAACATCATACAACTGATTATTATAAATCAGTTGTATTTTGTTGTAGCTGTTATCTTTCTCTGTCATTTATAGAAGTATACATTAGTTCACTGCACTTAAAAATTTCACCTAATGGAACAGTAGGGTGTGCTAGGCGGAGTTGTCATGTAAAGTATCGAGAAAGATCCAGAATTATGTAGAATAATCTGAATTTGTGTCTATCGTACATTCAAGTCAACAGTTCAGATACAGATCTTTCAATGGTAAGGTGGCACAAGCAGAAAATCTATGGCGGCCACCTTAAAGTTGATGATGGAGGCATTCCGCCCGCTTGTATGTGAAAATCCTCGCTAATTAATTCGAATAATGAGCTTACTATGCCAGCCATCATGTCTTAGTTTGCCTAGGTCTTTGTGATTTTGAAATTAAAACGTACCTAACGTAAAGTGGCTTCACCTCCAGCCTAATTCTGCATTTGCAACTCTCGTGTTAACTTTTTATTAAGTGAAATGTCGCTCACCGTTAGATAGAGTTAACTCAGCAATCTTGAAAACCCCCCTGTACTAAATATACCGCGACATTCGCGTGCAAAGCTGCTAAAAAGACGAAAATTACTGGTTAAACGTTTCTGTCGAAATGGCGATCCCAGTTATTTGAAAGGTACATAGAAATAGTCCTAAAGTATATTAATCACAGCAATCGAATGAAAATCTCAGTCTATGCGCTTAATCTCTGACTGTGCATTCAGGTCTTGTCATTGTGCTTACCATGAAGTCGGCGGTTTCAATAGCTCAGTCCTGTAAATTCTGCGCCTCACAATATCTAAATGTTGCGAATATCATTCGCATTCTTTCAGGTTTCCCTACCAAATGATGCACTTTAGGAAATGCAGAATATTCTTGTACCTAATAATATGCGCTACCAAGTGAAAAGTACTGCTCACAGCTAAAGTTTAGAAAAGCTGCATTGTGATGGATATATAAATTCAGGCAGTAGCTCATCTGCAAACGTGATGTCTGCAGACCAATTGTTGGGTTATAATTTATTTAAAAATGAAAACGCGGTATTCAGAGCTTGTTTCATTACCATTTGTCATATAAAAATCTAAGCATTAGTAAAAGTCGTCCTCGTATTTTTCTAAGTAATATTTTCTGCATTATTTAACCTACGTCGATAGTAATTAAGGGGTACATAACTAGATTTTCATACATGTTAATTTTAGCAGGACTGAACTTATTACAATATAATAATCGTACTCAATGTCTGTATGCCACTGGATTTTTAACTATCCTTTGCGCTCTGCCTTTAGTTCGGTCTCATAATTCAGGGGTAATTAAGTCCCAGTGGCGTGAGAGGGTGTAATAAACCTTATGCATAACTTCGTCGTGCTGTTTTCGTCTACTAGTACCGTCGTAATTTATTGGAATTAGCAAAACTTTGTGCAAGCTAATGATAACATTTACAATTTTGCTAATTAATCTAAACAGGTTTTGTTCCGCAATAATTTTTTTCTGAGAAGTGTGTAAGTCACAGTTAGTCAGATATAAATATTGAGGTCACTTTGTTGGGCAAAATAGAGAAAAACCAATTTGAAGTTGGTCAAATATTTATCAAACGAATATATCGCACCACAAGAACGCGCTGAAGGTTTACAACCCGCAAAAGGACCATATTAATCTGAGATCACCTAACTATCATGGCTGTGTTTTGAAACATCCAGTCTCGTTAAGAAAGCAGTATTTTTCCTCTAAACCTCTGCGGGGTTATTCTTGAGTAAGGACGCGTTTTGTTTTCATTGAACGTTTTAACCGACGTGTCATCTCTCCTGACGTTGCCCACTAAACCTTTACGGTATCACAAAATATCCCGTGATGTTTTGCCGTAATATTTTATGTAAAACATCAAGATTCTTGTGGTTCTTAACTAATTCATGGGCTTTAAGCAGTGGTAAAACCTGGTCTTCTCTTCACCCTTACAAGATCACCTAGGTTGATTTATTACTTTGAAAATAAGACACAGCACGTATACAAATACAGTCGCGTTTCACTAATGCCTGACTGAGGAGCATTCATGTCTGGATCACTTGATATTTCGGACTGTCGCCAGGGTCTTTCCGCGGCATATGATTTGGAATATGGTTGTCAAAATCTCCAAGATAAAGGAAAACACTCTGCACTTTGTTCTGTCTGCAATCCTTCATACGCCCGTAAATCAGGACGCCTCCAGACGCTAGCAATGTAATCATGTACACCCGCCTCTTAGCTAAATCTTTAAAATGCATTCGGATAGTTTTAGAATTGTGCACCTCACATACAGACTAGCATGGATGTGGAAGCCATGTGGGGGGACATAGGGCATGTATCCATCCATTTTCAACCTTTATGGTACACGATAACACAATTAGGTCAATAAGTTGCGATGAACAATTTGCTTTACAGAACGTTCAGTAAGTCATAGTTTCTGGACACTTAGTACCATTGTGAATTGAAGTCGATTTCATCCGAGGATGGAACTAATGCTAAGCTCGCAACTGCTGCACTGTTGGGTGCTACCCTTCAGGCACGTTCACCAAAGCTCGGTCACCGAATAAAAGTCACATAGTTCCGCATGACAATGGTAACAATATTCGCTACCCGTGTAAGTGTGCTGTAACTTTGATAGAAATGTGGTCAGTTAAGTATCTATCAATGTGATCGGTACTGTATTATAGCATAAATACGATCAGTAGTACAGGGTATTAATAGAGCGTCCATAATGATGGTAGACTGATGAAATATTTCGTACAGAAGTGGTTGCTAATCAGTTCAAGAAACTCACCATTCCCAGCTTTATCAGTTACACCGTATTTTTATAGCAACAAGCATTTACCAGTCAGGTTGCAATGTTTTTGTCGTGGATGTGTGGTAGTTATGTGACTAAGTTTGACTGCAAACAACTTCCAGAAATGTTATCTAATGAAATGCTACGGCAGAAATTTAACTATCGTTACTCAATTTTGCCATAATTTCTAAATACAGTATTAAGTTCTACTAAATTTAATCGGAGCCCTGTTCCACATAGGTGCAGAAACGGCCTCATGTATAGAGTTGAAACCGTAAAATGACTCCGCTTGCGCCATTAAATAAACGAGACTTAATTGTAATATTTGACTGAGTTATACGCACAGCACTTCCCGCTTGATAGTTACAAACCAGTAAACGAAAACGATCAATATGTTACTGCGAAACCAGTTAATTAAATGAAACAAGTATTCAACAGCCAACTAAATTATATAATTATTTGCGACATGAAGCAAAAGTGAATATTCTGGACCGGACAAGAGGAGATAAATATTGATAGGTTTGTACCCTAACAATGCATACGGAAGAGATTAATTCTCAATCGAACTCAGTCTAACAAATAGTGGGTAACACGCGTATCACTGTGTGCAGCGTACACCAACAATTGATTGTTTATATTTCCAGACTTCCAGCAGCAAAATTTCTTAGATTTGCATGAATCCATTTGCGCTGCTGGTGCGTACATGTTTTTAAACTTATATTTGTGTGCAAAAGTCGTCTGGCAATGTTTACTTAACAGTCAATGTACTCACGCGGAAAAATATGCTTTGGTCTAGTCGAAAATACAAAACGAGCATTGCATCGTTGGGGTCCATTTAACTGATTTTAATCGATTTTGCTGTCTACCATGGGACAATATTTCATTTGAGATACATACTAATTACTCGTTTTGAACTTTTGGTCATTTCAAAGTATATACAAAATGAAAAGATAAAAATTCAGTCAACAGTCCTTCAGTGAAGACTAACCGTCGATTTGTGTGGCTCCACTTCCATTACTAATGTTCTAATTACGCTATCAGCCCAAATACTTTTACACACGTGCCTGTGGGCTGGAAACGGCCACAAATTGTTCTTCATACATACACACGGACGGGTGCCATTTCCGAATGACCATTTGTGTTCAATGTCATGCAGTCTGTTCATTGGTACATACAGACTAGTGGGTTACATTCTGTTCAAGTTTGTCACGAGCTTAAGTTAGTCGATTTATTTTATTGATCATAAAGAAACTTCAATTCCTTACACATCCGGTCAATAAGCAGTTGCCATTTTCTCTAAATAGCTTGCAGGGTAAAATAGAAGTATCAATAGGCTTGATGTATTTTAAAGGAGATTACTTTGATATCCAACATGGGAGACCGGTGATAAATTAATTATTTAATAGCAATTCCCGCGTGCTCAGAGGAGTAAATCTCAGCTGTCAATGATCAATATAAATTGGAGAGGGGAAGCAGCATTGATTGGATATGTCTCTATCTTGAAATATGCTTAAAACCGATAATTTGATTTTTTCAGATTGATTAGTGAACAACCGATTAACATACTAGTTAATTGCAAGAGGTTGCAATTTTGGCGCAAAGGTGATGGAACATTAACCCTTTTGCGTTAAAGTCGAAACACCGTGCACTTAAAATATATGTCTGACCAGTGGCCAGGAAAACCTGAAATCTTGTTTCTTAATTGCGACATTATAATAATAACAAATAACTACCTGTCTCACATGACCAGCTGCCGATCTGCTATCGGTTACAATTAGCCTACTGCATTTATACATGCAATTGGAGGGTAATTTTGATAAAAATTGACGCCACTTTTCAAAATTTAGTACGAGTTCAAACAAGTAAATAAAATATAAATCAATATTGCGCAGAATATCAATGATGCCAAACATAACGTAAATGAAAGCACTTAAGCTGGTGGAATATATCGCGGCTTAACATGAGTATATGTGCAACTAACCATCAATATACCATTAAAAATATATTCGGGTTTACTTATGATGTATTACAGACCGTAGGATTATTTGCTTTTGATCCCCATAGTGCTAAACTTAGTAGTATTTACCCATCGAACGTTAGGAAAACAACGGAAACATTCCGCTTGTAACCACAAGGGGAATTTCAAGACTAACAGTAAAATTATTCCGATCTTCTTCATAATGAACCATTACGAAATGAAATTGCATTAAAGAATTCGTGTTCGTTTGATATTTGGTAGTCTACGGCAGTTAATGCTTGCGCAGTGATCGCAAATTGCAACAGAATTCGTTTGGTTACACTTGATTGCAGTAGATGCCTTGTTAGCGGTATAAGCGATGTCACTTTTGTGGCGATACAATGAGCCTATTTAAGTCACTAGTTTGATAGTATTCAAAATATCTATCTTTCTTGCAAGTTTCCAAATCCGTCCTTGCTGACCCAATTACTTCCTATATGCTTAGACAGAAACTTTATTTATCTCGACAATTGGTTTGCGTCTAACTAGACTAAACATTATATAACAATTATTTTGGGGTATAAGTTGTATAATTTAAATTTTATCACAAGCTTCACCCTTGTTGGCAAGCGGTAAAGGCGCATTTTGATTGTCTGAATGAATCTAATATGATGGGTCGCAACCGCGCTACTCAGCTCCCATTTAGGTACTTTTTGAGTCAGACCACTCAAATTTATATGAAATACTTGAGGCTTAAATTCGGTGAGTTCCTTTCACTGTGGTGACCCCTAAATTGTCCTGTACACTTAGCTAACGTGCAAGTCGGTGGACAATAAGCGGCAATACGTCACTTATAATAACCTAGCGTTCGGTCTATAAAGAATCATAACGAAGTAAAGAGCACAGTTAAGGGCATAAGGAATGCGTACGGCAGAGGATTATTCTACGGATGAATTGGCAGTGTTGTGAATTGCCGGAGAGGTTGTGGCTGGCAAACTGAGTTTCGAAGAAACAGATGTCGTTGACAAAATTACACAAAATATTTACTACTCTTTTGCCGGACCACCGAAGAACATTCTGGTGTAAATGTGCGACTTTGCCATAAAGACACTGTGACCACATATTTTTTGAGGAACATTTGTTTATGGCTCCAGTTCTCAGAGAAGTTACCGCAAACACTCACTGGTTGTCAAATCTTCGATAGATAAAATTATGTCAAACAGTCAACAACAGTTTATACCATTAGGTGTTTCTTCAATACAAAATGACATCTCAGTTCTTGGATTGTTCTCAACGATTCCATGCACGGAATCATGTGTGGAAGCCTTTGTTTGCTGAATTCCATCAAGAATGCACACGATATCTTGCAGCCACTTTGGTCATATCTCACGTCTGGCGCCAAATTTTATTAGTTTTACTGTTACAGGTTACCGATTTTGGATTTGCTAAGCGGATCAAGGGGCGAACATGGACGCTGTGTGGCACTCCGGAATATCTGGCACCGGAAATCATTCTAAGCAAGGTGAGACAACGATGCGCATGTGGACAATGTTTGCAGAGTTTGAACCACAATTGTAACGGATTTCCTATAATTGATTGTGTATTCTCTCATACACTATTATCAAAGACCTTGTCACCTGAAACGTAATATTCAGAAGGTCAACAAATATGCTGTAAACCATATTTTCTGTGAACGGAAAGGCACATAATGGCTGCACTTACGTACTTATAATAATCAGCGCTTCACAAGTAATTCAGGTTGTTCTTTTGATGTAAGCTGATGTGTTTTGTAATACAGCAGTTTCATAAATGAGTAATCTAGTTTGCGCTACTAATTTACCCTAAGATATTGGGCTTCACGCTTTAACTTTAACGCAACTGATATCCGTTCCGCAGTTGCAGACGTATGTTTGAAATTCTCACAGTACCTTTCAGGACTATTGACTAATGCTTTCAGACCATATAAAATCATTTCAGTTGATTGCTCCCCGAGTACACTATATATGTACATGATTGGAGATTCGGTAATAATACACCTCTTAAGAGATTTCCGCTCGCTTCTACTACAAGGCAGCCCGAGGGATACCTTTGAATTGAAACTGGCTGACTGAAAACACCAGGCTATCAAATATTATATAGTATGTATTGTTAAGATAATAATAGGTATATTCCTCTTGATGTACTGTGTCTATAGTGTCTACATAGATCAATTTGTAGAGAAGAATCCATGCTCTTGTATGGGTGACATGTATTAGTTTAGTATGGAATATGCGTTTTATGTATTAAAATTCTGGTGGATGTTTGAGGCCAAAGCCTAGTAATGAAAACACTGGTGTTTAATGTTTTTTGGGTCCCCTTGTAATAGCTCATCGATGGATTTTCCTCATGCGAATCTAGAGCTTAGGGTAGTTAGACCAAGGTAATTGGCTAGTCTGCTACTAAATAATGCCACATTGTCACTTGACCTGAGTGTTATTGATAGTTTTTTCCACAGATAGCTGTAGCTGACTATGAGGAAATTAGAGCGGACGTTCGTTCTAGCCTTCGGTATATTCAATGTAAAATAATTGTTGCGAAGTGCTCGAGTTGAATAATGTTGCAGCTCGAGTCTAGGCAAGCTGGAATAGATCGTTTTGTGTAACAGGTTAAAAAACAGCATGAAGTTGTGGTTCAATCGTCGAATCCCAAGTGGTTCGAGTTAAAGTTCATTGCAACGTTACCGATAACCCATTGCAGAGTGTTTACCAATCAGATGTTTAGTAAATGACCTATGCACATTCTACACGGCCATTCTGTCAACCTCATATTTCCGTATTTTATGCTACCGTATTCGAGGATGGGACGTGTGAGTAGCTTGAGAAGCTCAACTCTAGCAAGAGTAGTGTGTATTTTGTTTGATCTATTGAACATGGACTGTCTGGCACGTGCAACTTGGTATTGGGTCTCTTCCGAGAACTTGAAGGTAGACGAGTACCTATTTCCAAGTTCTCGCTTGGACAACTCTCTACGGACGCGTTCATTATTTAGGGTGATAGATCCTTCGCAGATGCAGCAGCCGTAATACGTGATGCTTGATTTCTGAGCCAAGAGGTTCATCACTCATGTGCAGCACCATGACTCAAGAGAATGTAAATCATCTTGAATGGGCAGTAGGGTCACTTGAGCTCGTCACGCCGAAGCTTATAGAGGATATTACTATCGATAGCAAATAAAATTGACATACCATGTTTTACAGATGTGGTGATGTCACTGATGTAGAGCAAAGAGTGAGGAACCGAGCACGCTCCCTTGAACATCTCCAATGGTGATTGAGCTCGGGAAGAGCGATAATCACCAAAGTGACTGCCAGATGACGATCACTCAGGTATGACGAAGGCCAACCTAATAATGGATCACGGATCCCAAAGTTCTCCAACTTTTGTAGCAGTCGCTTTTGTGGTACTAGGTCGAACGCTTGGTGCTTTTCAAGAAACAAGGTCACTACTGCACGGCCGAAATCGATTTATTATGAAATATGTTTAACCTAATGCAGTGGACGGTTGGTGCACGATCGCTAATTGAGAAAACCATGCTGCGAATTGTTGATCAAGCCAATAGAATCAACAAACTTCCTCATCTCCTTTATGACCAACTTTTCAAATAGCCGAGCAATTAGCGGAATGTGGTGGATTGGCCGGTAGTTACAAATGATTTGTTTGTGACCTCCTTTATGCCGAGGCATAATAAGTGATGTTTTCCATCGATATGAAAAGTGGCCAGATTCCAACGGCAGAGTGAATATGCTCATTAGTAGCAATGGGATATCGGGTCCTCCAAGTATATTGGTGGTTGGTAAATTGCCATGAGATCCCAGCTTGAAGGATGGCCTGATTAATTTGATAACTTATGGATAGCGTTGAGTGAGACATCGAATCTGTTTCTGTGAGCTCAGTGCACACAGGCACCGAGTCAGCTTCGCGACTCATGGTAGTGGCGAAAGCTCGCTGAATGCTTCACAGTTTCAGCTGGGTCATGGAGTAAGTGACCCTCGCTATCAACAATTTGGGTAATCAGGGGAGAGCGGTCACTGGTTCTACGATGTAGTTTTTTACATGCTCCATAGCTTTGCGGCTTGTCCGTAGGGCTGCATGGTCCTCATTTTTTCGTCGTGTTAATTGCGTATGTTTGCCTCTGGTGGTAAATTCATGGATTTGTAAGGCAAATGAAAGTCATGGGTCATTCTGTATCTTGCAGTTAACTTTTTGGTTTTCTTGCTGATTATGTGCGCGACGGAAGCTTTGGAGTCATGAAAGGTATTAACAGATTTTGGAGCAAGGGGGCTGTAGCATGATCGATTTGTTTATAGAACTGCTCCACAGTGGTGTGCACACTGGTAGCGAGGAAAAATACATCCCAGTCGGAGCAACGAATGAACTGCTGAAGGCATTGCCAGTTTATCTTATAGGTTGCAACCGGCATTATAGGGGCGAGTTTGGTGACCATTTTAAGTTGGAAGCTGAGTCGGATCATGTTGTGGTCGCTGCTCACAATTTTGTGGGGCAACAGGATAATGAGATAATTTCTGCTTTTGACGTATTATTAATGCATACATTTAAAGAGCTGCAAACAATATTTAGGTTTCATACAAACACGGGTTTTTTGATCAAATTTTGCTCAAATACCTTTGATTACAGCTTCTAGGTCAAGTCAAGTAACATAATCATGTGTGCAAATGCTGAATCTTGATGCAATACTCATTTTACTTACATTTGAATACATGTTCCATTAGGGGTAAATATTTCGCTATTAATACTCTTCTTTCCAGTGGCATAATTGTTGCTTATTATAAACTGTAATTTGGATAAATCTTTCAAACACAGTTAGATTCCTTTTGCAGCAAATCCAAGGCCTGTTGAAAATAACTATACAACACTCTGTAGATTATGAATGCTTTCATCTCAGGATTAGAAACAATAACCATTCTAACTTATATTACCAATAATATGGGAGAAGTACTAAACTAAAATGTACAATTAGGTTAATGGGACGCAGACTTCAAACGTATTTCCTACCGATAGATAGTAATCAATACTACAGCGTTGTCACATTTTGTCGAATAAATCTGTTACCTGCTACATAGAATATCTAGGATACAACACACATTTCCTAACCGGATTTACTGTGTTGCTATAAAGCATTTCATATGTGTAAATATGGTGTTTTGATGCAAATGCAGGAAATTTAATTCGGGATTTATGAAGTATTGTCTATGAAGTAAATCGAATACAATTTTTATTTTTAGTCATTAGTCAATGATACACTTTTTAATTTTACGACTTAGTAAAATTGGTGTGATGGCAACGTTATACCGGCATCGTTGTATTTCGTTGCTACATAAATGTTCACGAATGTGGTTGAACCACACATTGCCTGATCGCGTATGGCATCAAATTTACAAAACGTTGTTTGAAAATTGCTGCCATATGCAATTCCTAGCAGCAGCGAACTTGATTGCAGCATGCTGCGCCGCAAAATTGGGTGTAAATTGTGCTTGGATTAAGAGGGCAACACCATGAAGTGTTGCTCAGTTCTTATATAAGCTTAGTCTAACCATCATAAAAGATGGCATCACGAAAAATGCAAATAACTTTCAGAAATGTATGTTAAATTTTACCAGGTTTATAGACAATTTGATTAATAACGTATCTGACAAATGCACATTTATGTTAACAGTACGTGGAAAGACCATTTCAATATGTTTCAAATATTGTGCTGAATGGATCAAATACGAATGAGGCCACGAGTCCGCTTCCCCTGTATAATTCTGATTGCAAGAGAGTTGGTACGATAGACTAAAGACTTTTGCATAATTCAACTTCTAACGGATTTGTAAATGGATAGTTTCACATACGTTACGAGTAGGAATACAATAGTTGTAATCGATGAATATTTAAAATCATGTAAATGCATGTGTATCCTGAATATCCTTTAATTTGGCGTGGTAAACCTGTAGAGGACATTAGCAATCATGATGATGCAGCTCTCAACTTGCAGGGACATCTAATATTCTACTTACAAAGTTTTTGATCAATTCACTTGGAAAGGATGCTTTTCACATATTGGGCAACTAAAGAGGAGAAGCGATCTCAGTTCTATCCTTTGCAGTTATATGAACCATCCAACATGTATCCCAGTAAATTGGCTTTTTCTTATGTGGTGTGCACGATTCATATAAATGCGTATTTCTGTCCAGCGATTTATTCTTCTTTAGTATGTCTGAGTCATATCAGGCTTACATTCAAACAAATTTTTCATGTGCTTATTTCTAAGGGTTACAACAAAGCGGTTGACTGGTGGGCTCTTGGAGTGCTAATCTACGAAATGGCTTGTGGATATCCTCCCTTCTTTGCTGATCAACCGATCCAAATTTATGAGAAAATTGTTGCAGGCAAGGTGAGTGCTTGTAATCATGCAGTTATATAATTTGGTAAATAATATTCCTATTTAAACCATATGCCTATTTTCTCCCTAGAGTTTGCTTGAAAATTTAAAGGGCAACTGGGGTGCAACTATGGTGGTGGTGGTGTATCTACGGTGACGTTTTGATTATTCTGTCTAAATTTAATTAAATATGTCCACTGGAATCGCGAAAAACTCATTGACGTCTATATGTTTGACCAATGTATGCAATCAGTAAACTATCCAAAACATGGTTTATTTTACAAGATAACAGTGCATATTTTAATGGTCCGTGTTAAGCTGCATCAAACACGTTTACTTGTAAACAACCGCTAATTGGCTGAGTAGGATTCTAGCAAAACGATGGCTATTTCCATCAATTCGCTCCGGTTTGACTACATTGAATTAAGCTTAACTTTGTAATGAGATTATAAGTTTAGACGTGAGGATATTCCTGATTTTGCATGTAAAATTTATTCATTTCTCCTTAAGTTCTCTTTGAATGAAACCATCTGATTTTCCGCAAAAGGTGCGCATTGAATGGCGGGAACCAGAAGAGCAGAGGTTATAAATTCTTCAAAATAGCAATAAGCGTTTAACACAGCCGAACATAACGATTTGACTATGTACATGCATTTACACAAAAGAGTTGAAAGACGACAAGCACGTATTGTTACCAGTTAGTTTATCTGAATTTTTGTAATGGGAAAGCAAGCACAACAGATCGGCTTGATTAAGGCAGATTTCTCGAACTTCAGTTCGTAAGATAAATGTGCGTTGCCTTTGTACACAAACGACCTTTTCCTAAATCGAAATAGGTACCTTGACCTTTTCATTTAATACAGAAGCACATGTGTTGTGTCTGGTTCCTCATGTAAACCTGTCCTGATTTAGTGACTATAGATGGATGACGCTGTAATTTTACCCCTTGTGGCTTGTCCCATTAACCGTTAGGCCGTCATTTATTAAACCATTTTGGAATATGCTCGTAAATCAGTTTAACCAAACGTTATTTGTTTCATCTTCTTGCACGGTCCATAGGTATATAAGCTATCATAACTACAGCAGGTTGCGACATCGATTGCTTGCTGGGTAGTCCAAATCGACAGAATTTGTCCACGTTAAATGAAACCCAAATAATAGCAAATGCACACTAATAGAGATTTGACACAATGCGTCTTCATACGTTTATAGGAATTTTTACATTTCTTCTGAAGTTGCTTGAGCAAATGCGATGAAAATCTATCACTTCGCTAATAGATGGGCTCAAATGGACGACGCAGACCGAACAACAAGTTACTGTAATATATGAAGTGTTCGGATTGGACTGACAAACTTCACTCTTGCGAAAGAACACACCAGTAGCACATTTATATACTTATGCACTGATGCTTTCACGACACTACTGCAAGAAGAAGTCCAAAGAGGAGCCGGAGAATTGTATACAATATATCACATTAGCTTACATAGATTTGAAGGCAAAATGCAGGGAAGCAATTACATAACACTTGAGACCAACAACAGAATGAAACGTCAAAAGCAGCGAGCAAATAATCAGTTGTGTAATCAAGAGCAATAACATATGTCCTTAAAAATAGAATCATAAGACTTCATACGTAAAGCAAACAACCATTAGCAGTGACAGGCACTGGCCAGTCAGAATAAGAAACTGTAGCCTTTAAAGAAAGGTCATAAAACATATGAGAATAAAAGTACTGACACGAAAATTGAAATGTAGCAAATAATTTGTGACAAAAAATATTCTTTTAACTAAACCAATTAGCAAAGTGATGCGAAGAAAAACTAATGGAATTTGTTCTAACGAATGGCTTTATTTAAGATTATACGGAGATGAGCGTCCATTAACAATTATGTAGGTATACCAATTGGACTAACCCAGTTGATCTTTTAAAATACCGTCAAGAATTAAAAAAATAGGAAGAATAAAGTAAGGCTAATAAACTCCTTCACAAAAATGAACGCCACATAGCTATTAACTTAACAATAATATTTTAAGTATTTCCACCGCTTAATAGTTTTGAACCATCGTTTTGTCTGAGCGAAATATTCGTGATCAATGTAGAAATTGGAAAGTATATTTATTTTGCTTTCGTCAGCATTACCAACAAAAGCAAGTTTTGTGTAGAAAGCCACCTTGCTAGTAAAAACAAAATAAGGATGCAAACTGAATCTGGTGGGGAATTCCACCAAACTGGTTAAGATTAATTTAACGTTATTAAAGTTGCGAACGAAGATATAGGCAGATCCATTCATTTTAATTACAGCTTTTCGTAAGGTAACATTCAAACTTTGGCAAGTAGAATGGCTTTTTGGTCCGAGATACGTACAGGTTCCCAACAATGATAGTTATGAAAGCGCTCTGATAAGTAGATTTGTGTTCTAACAGGCGGCAGCACATTTATATCGTAGGTAAGTACTAAGGGAAATTTGAAACTGATTAACACCGAGCTTCGCTAAAGTATGTCATCACACCTCAACCAAGATGCTGGGGTTCTACTTGAGCGCAGGGTCTAACATGGTCGTAGATATTAGATTAAATGACGTAGTCATAGATGGCGGAAAGTCTCCAGTACTCTTGTGACAGCACTATGTCTGTATACATAAATTCGTTTTGTTGCTAAATGATCGCGATATCAACAACCAAATAGACACATGAGCGGATGTTGATATAAATAGTCGTTGAAAAGTTTTCAGGAAGCGCTTGAATCCAGCTTGTCAGTAAGCCCGTGCTTTTGCTTCTACTTGCTAATATTTGGGAAAACTTTAGAGGCTATATTTGCATGTTGTCACGAATGTAAGGAAAATAATCAACCACTGGTGACAATATAAATAATTAATCTAATAATAGTTAATATTAGTTATGTATATTTGTAAAGTCCGTAGCGTGTAGGGCAACATTCTATTTATATGATAACAGCATCCAAGAAATCGAAGGCTTCGCCTGACATGATAATAACCTCACTTTTTGTGAAATCATCCTTGGCTCAATTTGTTTTGAGCTTGGAAGCAAATTTCTAAACCGATGCCAACAAGCTTAAAGTTGCGCATGTAGTGGTGATGATTAGTTGTTGGAAAAAGTTAAAAAGTTGCTAAATTAATATTTAGAATTGGCTCACCTAGCAAATTCAAGCGAGGTTTGTGAAACTTTTTACCTCCACACCTTGTAAGAAAGATCTTACTTACTTCCTGTTAAGGTTTTTTGAAAATGGTACACAGTTGTTGCAGATAGATTTTTCCCCTGTAGTAGCTTCTTCAATTCCAGAAATCAGTTTAGGGTGGCAACATTTTTCAGTAAACTCTCATCAGATCGAAACGCTTGCGTAACACTGATTGTGGAGAAAGCATCAACTCGGACTGGGATTTAATTCTGGACTGTTTGAAAGATCAAGATCGATAACTTGCGACACATATAGAGAAGTTAAACCAAGTAAACTATATAAACATGTATACACAAAGCTTCGTAGTCCAAAGGTATTAAGTAGGTAAGATAGCAACCAGATAACTAAGTAACGGTGTCCGTTGACAAAGGTAGTAGTATCGGCCATATGAACCGTACTGTACACATAATTCCGGCATTATAAGTCCCCTGCAAAATGTTCCTCTTCTGCGCCTACATAAGATGTGCGTTGAGTTTTGGTTAGTTCCATCTTCCTTCTTCTAACGATAGTTTTACGTAAGTTCGTGAATGTGATACGTCATTTGTATGACAGCTGGTTAATGATCAATAGGTGGCATTGCTTTGTCTGATGGGAGGCAATGTCCTTTTTTAAAAATGATCACATGAAACTAACTTACACTCCCTTTTACTATTCTGGTAGAAATGGTGCTTAGTTTGGACGTATTCAGTATTTGTGTACTGGATTGGTGGGAAGACAGACAACTTCTTAAGATCTGTCATCAGCGCATTTATAGCTCTACACACATTCGCTTTTTCTCCTTGGCATATACATGTCTGGGAGGGATGAGTTCTTATTACAGCTTGAAATCCGAATTCGAGACTACCAACGGTTCCAACCTTCTTGCAGGCTACACAATCAAACGCAATGAAACTACTGGGCACCTGTTGGATCAAAGTTATAAATAAGCTTACACAAATTCCTAAATTATTAGATCACAGTCTAAAAATCAGTTACTTCTGTATGCAGAATTCCTTTCCCGACGGTCAAACCTTTTCAATTTCTAGACAAAAATAATAATTGTTTACGCGTTTTAGTAGGATTTATTATTAAACAGTGTAGGTAAAACTGTTCAAACCTCAAACAACCTAGTAAGTTGGCTATAAAATTGAAGACCGGTAGTTCAGTTTATTCAGGTGGCGGTTTAACTTTGCGCTGAGCTTGGCAATTTTGTTAAAAATGTTTCCTTACTAATCGAGGTGACATCATCATTGTGTAGTTGAGTGGCTTGCAGTATCGTAGAGTAGCGTAGGAGATCCTCGCTTCTCTACGCTACTGCACGTCACTCAACTACGTAATGATGATGTTACCCCGATTGGTGACGAAACTTTTGAAACAAAATCGCCAAGCCCACAAAACAGATCAATCGCCATCAATACAGAGATTTATAATACGCTGAGCTACCATGGAGATTAACGTAACATTCAAAGTCATTTGTCTTTTAAGCTAATTCGTTTTGCGCGAGTAGCTACGGTTGGTTGTAAATGGCTTTAAGGTTAGCGTTTTAACTTTATATGAATTTAACAATTTTGCGGAAATATGTAAGCTGCATTTACGTGTATATGTGTATTCACAAAACAGAAATATAATACCCTTTGCATCACTTTGTATTTTAGACAAAACGAAGTGCATTTTTAACTAAGCCAAAGTTGAACCCCAATGAAATAAATGAATACCAAAAAAGTGCACTGTGGTAATATGTGCACTAAATGGGCCTTGTCGCCTTGCCTGCCTACTATTTTGTTGAATCAAATGCGATGAAACTGAGGCTTGGAAAATTCTTAATATTTCATTTTTTCTAATAGCCTTTCTTGTTTTGCTATTAGTTGTAACAAATTCATCCACAATAAACTAAATTTCAGTTTTCATAGAGAAAAACGCAAGCGGAAAGCGTAACGCAAACAATTATTTCCGATTTCCTATTCATCATGCCTGCACAAGACATACTTTAGAAAGATTAAGTTTGTAGGAGAGTACATATCATTCATAGACAGAAACAAATATCTCTCATGTTCTAGGCCGGGTAATCGGGTGGCAGCAAGCATGTGAGGTTGCCGAGGCGGAACCTGCTTTTTCTTGGAAACTGTTGGTCAATGAATTTGTAAGGCGTGGATCAGCTTGTTTTGGATGCAGAGACTAATCCTGTCCGATGTTAGGCCTACCACTTCAGTAGTATCTAGTAAACTTGTTGCTAACTGATAAATCATGATGAATAGTGCCATGTATAGAATTTTTTGAGCGTCACGCTTGTCAACATTGTGTCCTGTACTGCTATCATGCTTAATTATGGCATTCAAATTAGTTCTGTTGCTTCGGTTCACGAGCGAATTCAGTAATTTTTGGTTTGCTTTTCTAAATGCATGGTTGAGCAATCCTTGTAGCTATCTTTACAGGAAAAGGTGGATACGTGCATAATTCTTGCTTGTATTTGACCAAACACTTTGTCTTTCAATCTAGGGAACACTAGTGAGTTGCTCGTGTGTCAAGATCGTTTACGCACGTGAGCGTTTGTAATGCTTAATCATTTTCGCGCGTTATAAACACATTAAGATTTGGCAGAAGCAGAGTGAGAAAAACCTACAAAATACGTTCCAAATTTGAAAAGAAGCAACGTGCTGAATAGGGATTTGCTCTGCAGAATAAAATTGTTCGAGTATTATCATACATGTTTTTCTCAGTACCAACGTCCTTCACTACTTAGAAAAATGGAATCTACGGTCGCAGATACGCGCAGCTAAGCATAAGTATGCTACAAGAAACCCGGCTTCACGAATATGTTGAAGACAATATTGTAGCAGTCGAAGGTTTATTACCCACTGTGCTGATCGTCTATGCACGTTCCGCAATCGGGGTAGTGATGTTCTCAGCTTTAGTAACGCTTCCTGGTGCTCTTCAGAGCCTTGAATGTTTTGCTTTTCGTCGCAACATATAAACAGCCTAGATTTAAAGTGCACGCCAAACTATCTGAGTGGATACACTTCAATCTTGCTAGGCAAGATTTATACATCACCCAGCTATCTAAGCTCAGAAGCAGACACAATTTCGATGACTTCATGGCAGCTGTCATTGTTAAAATGATCCATCCCCTATTCTTAGTTTCTGGTGAGTTCAGTAAGTTAAACCCCACATTTCTCACAACATTCGGACTGCCGAACATCGTGAAATACCCCACCAGTATTATTACAACCATGAATTAAATGTGTTAAAATCAGTGGATATTTGTAGTCAGTACTCGGGCACCACGTGGAAGCTGTGATCACTCGATGATCACACTGTCTTTTGTCGTTTAATTAAGACGAATCACAGGCAAGACACTCGCAGTAAGGTACCTAAAGTTGAACGGAGACAAATTAATCTCCCAAGCACAGCCCAAGTGAAATAAATTGTTGCCGCTAAAGGTTTCTCTTTATTTTCGATGGAGATAACGTATTGTGACCTGATGACTAGTTATGTGAAGTTCTGTATTGATCTCTGCTTCCATTGGAAAATATGCTCATCCATGCTGACCGGTTCTCCTTACTACCTTAAAAGTACCTGCGTCGATTTAAGGAGAGAGCCATAAAAATAAGTGACCGTGCCTCAGTAATGTTTCTTTATCTACGCATCAAGCAATAAATTCACGACCTCAATCATGCCTACGTCCAGACAATTCTGCAGAACAATAATTACCATGATGAAACAACCTAGTGTAGTCACTCATTATAATGAGAACACCGACAGCGACGTAGAATAATTAAATCACAACTTCGGTTGCTCCAGCATTGACACCCGCAACTCGTCATCTGCACAGATTAGGTGGGATACAGACTCATCGCCAGTTGTTGACGTTGCAGCAATTCAGAGGAAGCTTACCCAGCTAAACGCAAGCAATTCATGCGGACCTGAACATTTGTCTCCATTCCTACATAAGAAGTGTGCAATTTCACTAGCCCGACTGCTAGCTAAGTTATACAGCATGTGCTTAAACCTAGGCATGACAATCGGCTGTTAGACAGCTGCTAGCATAATATCGATACTAAAGAAATAGAGGTAGATATAGAGTCAATGTGTGCATTTCCGTGGATTTAAAAGTCTTCGAGTAACTCATTCTTGAGCTATTGCTAACCAACTGCTGTCTGAATAATGCACATGAATTTGCATACCAATGTTCAGAGTAGACGAAGAGGAAGTGGCTTGTCTGGTGCATTCAGTTCTATCATCCCTAGACCGCAAGAACAAAGCCACACGTGTTATCTTCTTTGACTACACGAGCGCCTTCGGTTTCGTTAACGGGAAAACCGTGTTGCAAGATCTCCTGGCTTCTGTTATCCAACCACTCATAGCGTACTTGGTACAGGATTATTTACTAAAGCATTCCAAACTAACGAAGTACAACGACAGGAGATCCTTGATACTTGTTACTACTTCCGTTGTCCTTCAAGGAGCCATTTTATCGCCATTCTTATTATGTAACTACCTTGATTGGCTCCCAGTCTCTCAATTAAGCGTAACGCTAAAATACATCAATGACTTATTAATCGGCGCGAATCAGCTCACTTCAGACAGTTCGGCCATGCTACAGTTGTTAGGATATAATCGTGCATTTGTCAAACTCCAGCTGTTTAAAGCTGAATGCTCTAATCGAAATGTTGCACAGTTTTCGCCACATAAGACTTGTCGTAGCCCGATGTCACATCGGAGCTGAAGGCCTGAGTTTCTCGACGTCAGCGTAGTTTACGGAATCAGACTGGGCCATGAATTATCGTAGTGAATTCACGTGAAGGAATTCTTCACCAAAGTCAGACGACAGTCCTTTTATGTCTCACGTCTTTCTTCCATCCGAAGTCTCCCACCAGTTTCTTCTGCGATGCATCACTTCATGTATTTTATCCCAATGGACCAACTGTAATCTTTTGATCTTTACGCGCTTATTAGGTGAGCATTTCAAAATACTTTAAATGTCGCTGAAACATATATCTAGATACAGTGGTATTACTAAGGCAAAAATAGTGCAACATATTGTATTTGTTCATTTTACTTGTGCTCAAATTTGCTACGAAAATACTCGGGGATATCTGCCCTCATTTACATTGAAGTTCCTCCAACTAGGAATCCGGTATCTCAACGCGAAACAACTGCAAAGTTATATATGCTCGCACGATGGCCAACGGCTTATATATTATATAATCTCTAGCGAGATTTCTAAATGATCCGAATATTTTCATTCATGAGATAATCAGCAAATTATTTTAGTAATCTGGTACCCCCACATAAGACTTTGTTTTAGCCGTCGTTTTTATTCTGTTTACCTGTATTACACGTTTTTTGAAGTTTCGATCGCGAGTTTGTTGGAGCTGAAAAGCACCCTTCATGGGAGCATAAAAACGGATCCTTGACCTGCCTTGACTTGTATAAAAAACTTTGAGGTGGCTGCGTTTTATTCATTTCTATAGGATGGCGCAAATTTTCGACCACATGATGGTTCATGTCGTTACTGCCCTGTAGACTGGAATTTTTAACTTATAATTCTGCACTAGGCGTAATGCTTAAAAAATTAAAACAATTAGTTCATTTACGTATTTCGCTTGCGTTCATCTCGAACCCAATAATTAAATGGAAATTATACACGAAATTAATCCAAATCCGTCAAACTCAATTTTGTTTTTATTGTGCATATGATGTGCCATAACTTGCCATATTCTTACACGTATTTTTAAAAGGTACGCTTTCCTGGGCACGTGAGTAGTGAACTGAAAAACTTGCTCAAACAGCTATTGCAAACAGACTTGACAAAGCGGTTTGGAAATCTGAAGGACGGCGTCAATGACATCAAATGCCACAATTGGTTCGCTTCAGTCAACTGGGTTGCAATCTACCGCAAAGAGGTTAGTATGAGTATGGGTTGTTGAAGCATTTTGTACGTCACAAGTATTGTGGTGTATCATTGTATGGCTGAAATCATGATTATTTTTAGTTAATCACTTGATAAATGGTTGTTGATAACACATCATCGACGACCTATAAATAACCGTTCGGGATGTTAGAGCAAAAGCAAAAGTAGTCTGTATTTAAGCTTATGATATCACCTAGGTTGGCCATGTGGGTAAATAAAGTATGCAATGTAAATCAATATAGGTGCAATCACTTGATAAGTTACAAAGGTTAGATAATAGCTTTTAGGTGCAGCTTAAATCGTGACTAGTTACAATATCTTAAGGTTGGGCAATAATAAAAATAATGACATTGTACGCGTAAAAATGATATATACAAGAGGGAGGTACTTATTTCACGTGTTTGCATCATGATTTTGAGACCCACTTAAGTAGCAGTGCTGTTCCGCTGGTTCCAGTTATGCAAGGACTTTTCGCCTGGATGTGACGTGTATCGTGGAGTGAAAGAGATCTAAAGTGAAACCCTAATTGTCTATGTTTGTCAAGTGCTTCCACGCCGGGGTGGTGACCTACAGAGGACAAAATACTGCTTTGACATGGCGTGTAGATCACATTGTATATCACGAGGTACGTGATTAGGTTTTGCCAAGCAGGTTAGGTGAACAGTGCAGTTCCACAAACAATGCCATCCTCCTAATGAATGTGAGTGCACAGATCGGGAGAGTAAAATAATGTTGTTATATCTATGATTTCCGTGGGCGACACCAACGACGGATCGAGGAATTCAGTGTTTTATGCAACAATCTACAGCCATATAAATTTTTCTCAAAAATCAAGTTGCGATCAAGCATCGAAGTGTGTAAACTGTTACCACTGCATATAATAGAACGCCGTCACATAATAAAGTGTAAGGGTGAAATACGCGCCTTGTCCTTTTTCCTTGTTTTGTATAATTTCTTGCAGCATCGCGTAACAAAACAAAACAACAGTTATTATCTATTAATCTATGCGCTCTTTACTGTGCACGATACATATGTAAGCTGTATTTTTTCACGTTAGCATATCTGTCAGTGAATAACCAAAACATGTATTATTATGTGTTGTTATTTGTGAGCGTAATCCATTTTTGGCGATGCATTACCCGAGTCAGTTGTAATTGAATGCAGTAGTTAAACATGAACCTTAATAATCTGACAGGCATGACAATTAACCATTGAGATTACAAAATCGTTCTTCTTTCATAAACGTCAGTCAGGTGTTCGGAATAACACTTATGGTTAGATCAGGTAGAAAAATACTCGTCAGTTCTTTAACAGTTTTCCTTGGGTCTACTATTGCAGTATAAAACTATTTGGAACACACGATTTCATGTTTGAAAGATATTCTCATACTTTCAGAGGCACATAACTGCTACTTGGTCACATAAATGTGCTGAAGTTTACATATATTGGTATTTCCAGTGCTAACTGCGAACACGTTCCTTTGGAATATGTTTGGAAATTTGATAGATTCATTTGGAAAGTTGTTCTCGAATAGCCCAGTTCGATTCGAACCTCTACACTTTGTGACCTCCAAGTCCGTGAGCAGTGCCACTGGAACCTATATCCTGAGGACGCCACTAAAAGATAGTTGTATTGCAGGCAACAGCCTTTACTTCGCTCTTCAGCTTGGGAAGCAATGGGATTTGTATGTGGAATGTTCCTTGGATTTACGCTCATTGACACGTAGTTACTTACCACAAAAGCAGGACAAACTTGGATCGCATTATCACCTGTATTATTGAATTTAAAGGATTAGGGAAACTGGACAGGCTCCATACTTTCAGGATCTGCCTGCGTCACCAGCAGCTACAGGATGTAGTTAAGCGAGTCAGAATGAAAATTGTTGTCACACCTAGGTTTTAATGAAGAAAGCAAGTGGACAGTTGGGCCCAGCACAATGTGTGTAAATCTTAACAAGTTCATAGTGGCTAAAGATTGACGGTAAAATCGTCAAGCACTAAGGGAATTCTAGTTGAACTTGAAGCAGGCATAAACAAGACAGCAGCTTGTGGTCGACTAGATAACTAGCACATTGCTCAGTAAAAGCGGTAAATGTGGTGATGAGACGGATAAATGTGCATCGGACCAGGTAAAATGGGACTCTATTGCGACTGACGAGAAATTAAATAATCCCGATTATCTTTATCGAAGTGGGGAAAAGTGGGCATACATAGCTTTTGAGCTATTGGACGGTGTTTGCATGCAGAGTAACCAACAGTAAACAACACATGCACACAGGAGGATGACCAAAGTTTCTTTGTGTTTGGATATCAGGATGCTAAGCACTGGCGGTCCTCGCAGCCGCCAGTATAAGTCATTTGAAACGCGGAGAAATATTGTCCATGGTGACAACCAAAGGGTAAATTTCACATAAATTTTCCAATGTGTGCCATAGTACACAAAAGCAGATATTTGCTACTGTGAATCAAACCGCCTCGATCATTCACTATCTGAAGCCGGAATAATGTGCACAATAAAACTTCATACGGCTGATACAACTACCTTGGCCAAATGACAAGGTTACGTACTAAGTTAGTAGTTACCTCACCTACTTAATTTCTTCGGACTAATAAGCTTTGTGTAGGCATGTTTATTTAGTTTACTTGGTTTACCATCTCTAACTCTGTCTCAAGTTATCGATTTTGATAACTAAAACAGTCCAGAAGTCAATCATAGCCCGAGTTGAAGCTTTCCCCACCATCAGGGTTATTAAAGGTTTGGGGCTGATGAGAGTTTACGGAAAAGAAATGTTCACCCTGAAGTGAATTCTGTTGTTGATTCAATAAATCCCCCTACTATTTACGAAAGAGAAATAGTTAGTTTGCTGAAGACCAGCATTATTCGTGATTTTTGAAGCTCTTGTATAAGTGTCTTAACTTCAATACTCGACTAAAAGAATCCGGTTTGGAATTAGAATTCCTCAATGAAGGCGTGAATGCAGGCCCAAATCCTAAGCACTATTAGGAAAGTGTGGCCTCTATCCAAATGCAAAAGAATTGAATAGACATGCGCTTAATTATGTCGGAGTTGGACGGTAATTTCGGAAAGATTGCAATCGGTGGTATACCCAACTGAATAATTGTGGCAACGTTTTGAGGGAAATGTAAAATAGATTAAACCGAATATTGGAATAAGGAAACAAAGTGTTAGCTAATACGCTTAATATCAATGTCCCTAGTTGACATTTCTGAATAATCCGCAGCGACTTGTGTTTAACCTTTCCAGGGCTATAATAACACAGGCACAGCAAAATTGTTAGCAGTATGTCCAGAGACTTCCAGTCTATGTAAGAAAATAGATCATGCGGCTTTAGGGGTGCCGTTTGAAAGCTAATTGCTCAGACTAAAGACCTACTTCCAACCTCATCAAGTGATGTTGCGAATCTAAAACCTAGCACAGTTCATATTTGCAACGCTAAGACCAAAACAACTAGTATTCATATTATCGCTAAGGAACAAATACAGTCACTTAAAGAACTATGGTTAAACAACGAATTAATGCTCTTTAAGTCAGATAAGTTTTCCGACAGAGTGTTAATGTACAGGGTGGATTATATCCATTAAAATGCAGCACATCCTCAGTGGCCAGAGTAACTTCCAGATGCTCGTGGCAATTACAGACTAATCAGGGGAGTTAGAGAAACAGCTGACCGGCTGCCTCAGGCGAATACGCAAGCCAGACACATCACGAAGAACGAATTCGAAAAGCTGAAGCCTTCCAGGTGTAACCCAACCGAGATTATATGGCCTGCCTAAAGTTCACAAGAAAGGCACCCTAATGCGCCCAATCTTAGACATGGTGGGTTCTCCCCAGCGTGATTTGACCCAGTGAATCATAACAAAGCTGCAGCCGTTACGGAATTTGATTTGCACTTACTGCGAGAAGAAGAAACGTTCGAATTCATTGTAAGGAAAACCGAAACCTACCTAGCTAAAAAAGGCTGATTTCATTTGTTGTCCAGTCGCTGTTCACAAGCAATCCTATACTCGAAACTGTGCATTATTTATGCGATCTTACTCTATAAGTGCCGATATATACGCAACTATTGCGAAGAATTTGCCAAAGTAGATACTACTTTGTTGAACGTTAAATGTACAATTTACCTTCAAAAATGAAATATACCGTCAGGTTGATGGAGTGGCCATTGGATCTACTTTGGGGCCCCTGTAGGCTGATATTCTCATGGCGAAATTGGAACCACCCACCTACGTGTACAATTTTGGTATTGAAATGTACGTGCGATAGGTTGGCGAAATTGTATACTTTCCAAGTCAGAAATTCATCCGGAACATTTTCAGAAAGCTTTCACTGAGGCACATGCGAATCTCCACTTCACCTCTGAACACGAATTCGGAAAACGGTTACCTTTCCTGGATGTAGTAGTTATCCGTAACTCGGACGGATCATGCAGCAGAAAGATACACAGAAAGCACACTTGGACTAAGCGGTACACTAACTTCCACAGCGCAATACCTATGCAACATAAGAAGAGTTTAAACTGATCTTTTGCCTTGATAGAACGTAGTTTTTGTACACCGGATACCGTCAACAAAGTACTGCAAAGAATCATCGAAGCTCTTAGGGAAAAGCGTTATCCTGTATACATTTATCATGAAGTATTTGAAGGAACGCAATCGAATGCTACCTTACATCATTTTTCCTAAGAAAGTATTTTTATACATTCAGCAATTATGGACGATTAAGAGGCTGATGTATTATCCCGACTCTGGAAAGAAGCTGTTCAGTAAACTTATTCGCGGCCTGTCTGAGAATTATTTATCACAACAAGCCGTTGCTAACGAAACTCGTAACACATCGACTGTCGTCGTTGACCCGTTCAATGATCGGTTATCAGTACTCGTGCTCTTGTGTTGCACGATAAGCGGGTCGCACGACGAGGCCCCTATCTCAGAGGATTCGTGAGCACATCCCGACATAATTTTACAAAGGCGA